AATTTTTATATAATACTTATTTATATTGTATTATATTTTTTTAAAAAAATTTTGATGGAAAATTTAATAGTGAAATGAACAAATATTTTATTATCACAATATATTATATTATAATTTTTTAACATATAATATTTTATATTTAAAATTATTTTTAAAAATATTTATATTTTTAAATAACAATAATTAGGTATGTTACTATGTTATCAAAAAATAATTAAATATATAATTTAAATTATTATAATTATTATTAATATCTAAATAATTTAAAATGATAAATTATAATTATTAAATTACTTATTTATAGCATAATAATAAATTATTAAATAAATTATATATAAATATAGATTATAAATCATATAATAAAATTTAAAACAATTTGTAATGGAATTAGCTATATAATTATGACTAAAAGGTTTATGAAATGTCACAAAATGAGAATAACATATCTTAAAAATTAGTGACAGATATTTATGTAAAAAAATTCCATCACTAAATTATTTCTTACAATTTAGTGATAGAATAGTTACATAATTTTTAGCAATGGAACATTTTGTTGCTAAATGCCATCAATGAAATTTTTTGCGACAAATTGGCGATAGAATAGTGACTGATTTCTGAGCTCTTTCAGTAAATTAGTGATGGATTTGTGATGAATTAGTGATGAAAATTTATTCCATTGCTAATTTAATACATTTTTGTAGTGTGATCTCTAGGGAAGAAGAGAATCTTGAAAGAAGTTGAAAGTGTTAATCTTTGGATTTGAGAACACATGAGGTAAGTAAATTGCATCCCAACTTGTTAGCAATTTTTTTTTAAATATTGATTTAGTATATTCAGGTGTCACCTCTTTCCATTAATATAATTCTTTTGGTTTATCAAGAATAAATGATATAGTATCTTAATTTATTCTTGCTTAATGGTTTATCATCATAGTTCCATTGTTGGCTATTACATATATATGGAAATGTTTTACATTATATTAGATTTATTGAAACGGCTACAATTAGTTTTTTTTTAAAAAATAATTGTTCATAAGAATTACCATTACAGTGATTTTTTTACAATTTAACATATTTTTAAATTAAATTAAACTATTAGTTTTGTTAAGGGAGATTTCATCAAGGCAAGCTTACTTTAATTATATCATATCTATTGATATTTTAAGGCTAATCTAAAACAATGATTTTATTTGGCAAATACTCATGCATGGAACAGATAAAGGCTTTAAGACATCACTTGAGAACTTGTGTCAAGAAAGTCTAATGTTTAGGAATACTCTTGTGAATTTCAATATTTGAAAAATGATATTTTGTTCTGATGATAATTTGATTCTATACATGTTTGAAAAATATTTCTATAAGAATAAATACAAAGTGTTGATTGTTAACAGTAGTCTCGTTAGCCCTTGATACGCCATGGTTAAATCTTAGCTAGCTTATTATTTATGAGTTTACTACTCACGCTTGTTATTCATGAGTTTTAATTTGTACCTATGCTTGTTTCGTGGCTACGCTTGATCATTTCATGGCTTTAAACTGTGCTTGTGAGTTATTTACCCTCTTGGACTAAATGTCCATGCTTATTGGTTATTTACCCTTGTAGCTGTATGTTCATGCTTGTTAGTTATTTACTCTCATAGATTTTATGTCCACATTTGTTAATCATTTTGATTAAGTCCTGTTAAAAAAATTGATTTTTGAAACTTACTTGTTTATTCAAATGATATTTGTTAAATGAATTGTATTTTTTTCACATACAGAGTTTGAAAAGAGTTACATATACTTGTTTGTTTAAAACATATATTGTAATATAAAAGTGAAATTATAATGCTATGTCATCATTATTTGGATTCATATAAAATATATATATATATATATACACATTTACATAGAATCATGTGGCGTATGAGGTTTGAGTTTCTAACTTGTTTTCAAATAATATTTCTGTTAAATTTGTGATTTACGTCATCAATACATATTCTCTTTATTTTTTTTAATTTTAAATTGGGACCTTATTCACTAAATAATATTTTGGCCTCAGATAATAAATTGGGACTTGTATCTCCTATTGATCATTGAGGAGATTTGTTGCTTAATTGAAGTAGAAGAATTTATTTGGACAAATGTCAACTTGATCTAAATGTGAGCTTATGTATTATTTTATAGTCTGATTCATGCACTTCACATTAACTATAGATAGGATGTTAATCTGTAATTTATATTATATGTCTGTTGTGGAGGAACAAAGCTTCAAATTAGTTGATTTGGTTTTGCAAATGACTATTGTAGAGACTTTAAAAGGTCCTATTTATAGGGGAGGTTTTGTTGAAATTTCTACTGAAAGTTTGAAATTATTTTGTCTATATAAAAGTGTTGCAATGATCTCTAATGATATTTCAAATGCATTAAGATATTATATTAGTGTTTTTTTATCAAGGCTTATGGGATGGATATTTGTGAATATATCTCACGCCAAACATGTCTACTTTTTGGGGCATGACACTATCACTCGTTGATTTTGGTGAAATAATTTTGAGTGACTTATAAATAAGACTAGAAAAAGACTTTTTTTTATATTTGGTATGACAATTAATAAAAAAAATTGTATATAAATGTTATAACTGCCTCACTTTCTTGCTGCACGTTGAACTTTATTTATTTTATTTTTTTTTATGTTATAGTACTTAGCTGGCTGTTCTTGCTCACTATATATATATATATATATATATAATATTGAATTGCATACATGAAGGACTATAGAATCTCCAACTATACAATAATTTCACAAATTTCGGTTTCTCTCCCTTGACCCAATTTCTCACTTTAAGTCACACAAAACTGATAGATTGCATTTGTCTCCCCCGTAGGTAGGAAGAAGACCAATTTATATAAGAAGAATGACAATAAAGTCTCAAAACAATAAATTTATGATAGTTAGGTTTTCGATAAAAAATTTTGTAAAATCAGTTATAATTTTTATCAGGCACTTCACTCAAAAATTCTTTATTTTAGGACTTTATTGTCATTGATCTCCTATTTATATATATATATATATATATTAACTTTTAGTGGCTACGTCTATCTACTAATTTAATTTTAATCTGGTATATTCGGTTTAATTGTGATTTATATGCAGATAATCATTAAACTTTGAATTATATAATCATAGACATTATCCCATCGTCCACGTTATAGGCCTAAAGACCCTTAGACTTCCGATGCATTCGATCCTTCTCTTTGAAAGAGAAATCTCTTACAATGAAGTATATTTGTTAGTTTTATTATTTGTGGTTGCTTTTGTTAGGTTCGAAGTATCTGATTTGTGAAAAATGGGCTGACCACGTTGGTAGAGGATGAACATGGGGTTTTAGAGCTAAGTCAACTGTTGATCAGTGTCTCTGTTCTGTCACGTCAACGTGACATTGCTCCATTATTTTTAAAAATGACAGGGCAATATTGAGCCAAAAATATACTTTAAGATATCAATTTTGCTTGTACGCATGGAAGCTTCAAGAAATTTACATTAACTCTAAACAAAATAAAAGCTCTAGTGGATTTTACAAAAAAAAAACAACAAAAAAAGAAACCTATGCACAACATTGAAAAAGTAGTGGACTTTTATGCAGATGCTACTTTTATTCCCATTTACATGCCACCTTTAACTATTTCAACTAAATTAAGGAAGTTAGTTGAACTCTGTTAAATGTTTTAAAATTACCTTAACTTTCCACAAAGTACTCATAATCAAATGCAAATTATTGATCATCTTTCTGAAATCTTCCTCCATCATTGTTAAGGAATCACCAACTAACAAATAAATAAATTAAAGGGACGGATCTAGAATTATGAAGAAGCCTGTGGTTGGAATAGAAAATAAAATTCTAGAATCATGTGGAGGAAGAAACGGACTCAGAATGCTAATCATTGTGTGTGTAGAGTGCAGGAGAGTGAAGTGTGCTGTGTGAGGAAAAGCAAAGGAGTGAGAGTGTGAGAATTGGAGAAAAGTCATAAGTTTGTGAATATTGTATTGTGAGTAAATAATAAGTTTCTTTTCTATGGAGTCCCTCTCTTTCTCCATTCTCAAATCCCAACAATCATAATCCCCCAACAATATAACAAACACACACCCCAAAGGCCATATAATTAGAAAATAATATTAATTGTTTTAGACATTTGATAGAACGAGTTATAAATATGAATAGGAACATGAAAAGCTCTGGAATTATAGAAATGCAAAAACAGAGGCAAGTCATTGATCAACACCAGATAAGATAAGTTAAGATCCACTATAATGTGATCACTTTTATTCATGCCTCAAACAGAGGAGAACCACGCACAAACTTTACAAACATAGGAACTAGCTTGGACATGTAATCCATATCACCAACAAACTTGACAACAAAAAATTAAATAACAAGTCTGAAGTATAAAATGTAGGGAGAATGACATTTAAGGACCCTCTAATAATATTATTTATAGTTAAGAATCCTAAAATTTTAACATTTCAAAATAGAACCATAGTCCTTAACTGGAATCAAAATTTTATTTTCAGCATTCGTCTTTTACATTTTCAACACTCATATTTTAGCATCACTTCCAGTACTTGATTTTTAAATTTTTCAATAGTCATCTTAGATGTTTTCAATGCCCATATTTCTTGCTTTCAGTACTATGAAAAACTTATCTTTAATTTTTTTCAGTATTGAAATCATGGAAAAGTATTGAAGACATCATAGATGACTATTTAAAAAAATAAAAAATTGAGTACTAGAAATGCTAAAGATGACTATTGAAAATGTAAAAAGATGGGTGCTGAAATATAAAAGATTAGATTGAAAAAATTCAATAAAAAAAATTAATCCCAACTAAAGACCATGATTTTTTTCTAAAATTTTATAATTTTAGGATACTTAACTATAACTAATGTTGCTGTGACTTGTCACGGCTCAATGGGTATGGGATCCAGAAGGAGTTGGACAACATAATGTTTGAGAGACTCACCGTTGGTGAATCTGTCTTGCTTGTTTTCATAGAAAACCTCAGCCGCTCGAGCCAAATTGACGACACAATCAAGCACAGACTTTAGGACGTTTTGTGGATTATTCAGGCACTCTTCGTTAATATCCTTCCAGCAATTTTTGATGTCATCATTGAGCATTTTATGAGCCTCTTCTTCTGAAACTCCAAATTGCTTCATGCAACACTCAACTCCTGAAGCAACATGCTCTCTCTCCTGCTCAAACTACATATAAACATGCATAACCATTAGAGCTTCTCGTATCATTTCTCCCACTTAATATGGATATGATATGTATGCTTTATGACATGCAAGGCAGAAATAGGCCCAGCTAGGTTTTGATTATGTAGAGATTTACTTATATTTATATAAGAGAGGAAATGCTATTTACTTATATTTATGATAATAATTAATTTTTTACCACAAATTTATGATAATAGTTAATTAATATGATATAAAATGAAATTTCAATTTGGTTGTGAGTTTAATTCCTAACTTTTAAAAATAAAATTTTTGAATAAATTAACAAAATTCATATTATTTATATATTTATATATCAAATGATATATATAGTATATGTAAATATAATATCAAAACATAAACCTGTTGGGATATAGGCCCCGTGTTAAGTAAATAAGCCTAGCTTCTTTGCTTAAATAGACTCAGTAATAATAAGCCTGAGCTTAATTAGACATATTTTGCCCTAATAGATCAATAGCTAAGCTAGGCTATGAGTTCCTGATAGACCTTCTAACCTATTTCCATCGTAGTGATCACATGGAATATTCTAAAATATAAGCATATATAAAAGGAACGGCTGTGGTTTTATTTCTTTCATTATAAACATCAAAATTGATTAGGGTTAATGAATTCATGTATATGCATAGTGTCTTAAGTTTTACATTATGAGAGGCCATGTCATCGAGGAGTCTGCCAATCGTTGACATAGTCCTAATAATTTTGGGATGTGTGGCAAGCCATTCAAACGCCTTTTTGGTTGCAAGGTTTCCAAGTCCGAGAAATGAAGATATCAGAAGTGGGCAAGTAGTGGAAACAGCTCCCTTAATTATCCTTGTACACCTCATAACTTGGAACGTAGTGTTCATGGCACCATTTTGCTTTCATCAAGTACGCATTAGCCGAGTTGATAATCTACAACCAGAATATGTAACTAAGTTCAAATGGAATGGAATATCACGTGTGTGTTTGAAATTAGAATAAGTTATAAAGTATCGCTTATATATACAGCTTGTTTAGCATGTGGCATCACCAATTTGACGTTCCTTGTTTTGCAGTCACCATCTCCATTTCACTGCATAGTTCTATAACTGCTTCAAACACCACTTTCATGCCCTCTGGAAGAGATTTAATGAGACCTATATCCCATCTGGATAATCAGATAAAAAGAGTAATTAAATAATAAAATTCATGATTAATTTTCAGTGACAGGATTGGTAAATATAAATGGCCTAATATATATAATATATAATATATGTGAAAAGAACATTTAAACCTGTGGACGGCCTCTGTGAAGGGCTCAAGCTCTTCAAGTTTGCCATAGACATCGTAAGTATCATCAAGAAGAGCGATAGTAGCAACCAGTTTGCCAACTAACATTCTTGCAATGCTGAATTGAAGCTCATTGGACAGGGATAAAGCCCACAAGTAGGACTCCACCAACCTATCTCTAACATAGGGTACCTTCCTCGTAAATTCTGATTCTTTCCACCACCTGTAATACAAGTAAATTAATTAAACAAGAGTTTTACTGTTAGGGAGAATCACATTTAAAGACTCTATAAGAATAAATAAAAACTTTTACTCTTATCTTTAATTTTTTTTTATACCGAAACTTTTCGAAGATAAATATTGAAAACATTTGACGTGACTACTGGGGAAAAAAAAACTGATAAGTACTGATGAAAATGCTAAACATTGCTGTTCAAAATATGAAAGATGATGTCGCACCCAATCTAGAATTTCCTCAGGAGGAAAACTGAATAAAAATAATATTTGGGTGTCACCACCAAAATTTTAAAGGGTAATTTGGAAACCTCTTTAACATATAGTTTACGTATAGGAAAAAGGGTAAGAGAGTCAATTATATGTGGGGAAGTTAACAAAAACTATCCTAATTGCCCCTAACAAAAAATAAAAAAATCAAAAGGAAAATTTTATTTATTTATAAGTTGGATTTAATCTAGTATGAAAGTCTAGAGCCTACGTATCCTCTAAAGAAATCAAAGCTCATATAGTTCAAAGTAAAAATGCATGTCTCTTGGTTGAGAATTTTTTCTAAGGAAAATATTAATTATCAATGTTTATAAAATAATTTTAATGTTGGCTTGTATATTTTATTTCTTTATTTGCAACAAAATTCTGAGAAACAATTTTGGGGAAATCTTTTGATAAGATTTATGAAAATTTCATGTATCCCAAAATATTAGATATTATATTATATTATCTTGAAATCTTCAAATCATAATATTAAATATTAGATTAGATTATATTCTGATTATTATGTTATTTTGAGATATTCAAATCTTTATAGCTCATACATTATTATAGTATATTGTGATTTGATTTGATTGCATTTGTGTTATTTTTCATTATCTTCAATCAAATACCTTTTAATTTTTTTATTTACTTATTTTCTTGTTATAAACCATTTTCCATTATCTCTTTTTTATTCATTTTTATTATTTTATTATAGATGTTATCTTATTTATAAGAGCCCAAACAAAATACGGTGTTCATAAATGAGTACCAAAAAAATTCAATAATATCTTGAAAAATTTTAATTTCAAGTAAGAACCATGATCTTTTTGTAAAAATTCATAACTTTAAGATCTTTAACTGTAATTAATATTTTTAGGTCATAAAATATCATTTTTCCTTACATTTATACATATCCTACGGATCATTGTACTAGTTAAGATCAAATACTATAGCACATTGCACTTTCTTGGTGCTATTGCCAAGCTCTTTTCGATGCAGTTTCTGCAACATATTGAAATCTAGCTTTGCAAAGTTGAGCAACATTATCATGTGATTTTGGGAAGGATCTTGCGGCTGGTACAAAGACATGCAATGTCTTGCTTCTAGCCTAAGCAATTTCTTGTGAAAAGGCTGGCTTAAGCAGTGGCTGACTTGTGTTGAGAATAGGGCTCAATTGGTTGTTATCAGTGAGGGATTTAAGGAGAGTGTAAGTGAAATGAAGAGCTTCATCAAATATATTCTCTCCGTGAACCTCTAATTGTGCAGCTTCATACAAGGCCAACATTCCTTTGACGTCCTTGGCAAGATTTTGATTAATATTAAACTCTCCCTTCCCGTCCTTGAATCTCTCAAATACATCTGTTTCATATATATACATATGAATTATTGCAAGTGCTTGAAATTCTATGAAACAAACAGTGTAAGTTCTTGAAATTAGAGTGAAAAGAATCAGCTTATACATCCTGAGGTCTCTAGTTCGAGTCCTAGGATAGGCAACTGTGTTAAATAAAAATGCTAAATGCATCCCTAAGGTACCCATCATCATTGATAATAATGATCCCCACAATAGGATTCAGATTAATTTGATGGTGATAATACTCTCAGGTTTCCTTACATACGGGCAGATGGAATTAAAAAAAAAAAAAAAAGACAGAAGATCTTCTCATTAGACAATGCAAAAGAGTCAGATCTTCTCATTAGATAATACTACCAGGTTTTCCTATATATTGACAAGTTAAGCTTGAATAACGTAACAAGTACCAGATGAAATGGGATATCCATGTTGCCTCAGCAATCTAAAGAGTAAAGCAAGAGAGTGAAGATCATCATCTCCATCCTGATGCATGATAAGGATGTTGTTGCTGGTATACATGCTGTGAATCTTTGCCAATGCTCCTTCAATCTCTTGTTCGAAGTGGTAAGAGACTCCCAAACGTTTGACCAACTCAATGAAGTTCAGTATTTCTGAACGACTCTGATGGTTGGAAGATATAAACATCTTTAGTTTCTCTTTATGCACTTTATGTTCCACGCTGTCATCAACATCCTGAAAAATAACAAACAAGCGAGCATGCAACTTTCACTGGCAACAGTCAGGTTTAAGTTTAACTGATGAACACTCAACAGACAGGTAATTTTCATACATGTTTTTCTAGCAGAAACAAACTTGCTAGATATATTACACTCAATCAATAGGTTTCATCTAATGGTCTGTGTACTATATTAAATACCTCAGATTCTGAAGCATATTGAAGAAACATATTTCCCCAAATATCAGGAGTAAAATTGGCACATCTTCTAGTGTTGTCATGGTGAGATGCTGTGACAGACATGGCTCCTATTTTGGAACTGATATGGCTTTGATAGAAATTAAGAGCCTGATATGTATCGAATTGATTTACATAGAGGATATCATTCATTTAATATTCTTTTCTTTGAGGTTAGGTAAGCGATGAGTACTAACAACTTTTATAGGTTTTGCACGTAAGTCTAATTATATTCTCATTCCTCTTTTAATATAATTTTATTACTTTTATATGTTTTGCACGTAAGTCTAATTATATTTTAATTTAATTTTATTACTTTTACAGGTTTTGCACGTAAGTCTAATTATATTCCCATTCCTCTTTTAATTTAATTTTATTTACCATTACTGTTATTTATTTGTAGTTGGAATAATTTATATTTCTTAGGTTTAATATACAATTGGCATCCTGAAAGCAATTTGAACGTTATATTAATAAAGAATATGTTTTTAAGCCTGAACAATTAAAGTTGATGTATCCTCACCCATCATTAATTTAAAACTAATGACTGTTACTTTTTAAATAGGAACCACATTCTCTATCTTTACTACATCTCTTGCTCACGCTCCTCCCTCCCTCTCTCCCCCTCTTCTCTTCTTAGACGACGATTGCAGCAGAAGAATAGCTTGTTTGGATTGAACGGATAATCAATTTTTAGGGCCAAATAATTGATTTTTAATAAAAATTACCCAAACAGCCAAAAAATTTGATAATTGATTATTAAGCAAGAATCACATTTTTAAATAAGCTCTAGAAAATTGCTCATAAATTCAATTTTACTGTTAAATAATATATTTTACTTCTTAAATAACATTTAACAAATTTAGTAATGTTGAATACAACTTTATCAATAATTTAATTTTGAAAAGTAGTGTCCTTTATGATAATTTGTCCAGCTAAAATTAATTTCAGAAAAATAATATCCAAACAAATTGTATTATAACATAATCAATTATAATCAAAATCAATCATATTAATCAATTAGTTTTATATCAATTATATCTAACTGAAATCTAAATAGGGCAGAAGATTTTGAAGTAATGCTCTCATAACGAGGCTGCTTTCATAATTTTCATTATGGCTGCGATCCGACCCGCAATGAAATGGGTGGCCCGGAGATGCTCATCGGAGCACGAGGCCATTGACGAGGCTTACATTTGCTTGACCTTAGCTAGAGTGATGGTGTCAGGTTTCATAACGAACTTTATAGGGATCCATTCGATATTTGGAGTATTCTTGTTGGGGTTAACTATACCAAAAGGAGAGACTGATAGAGTGGATGGAGGATTTTCATGTCGAGTCTGCTCCTCCCACTATGTTTTGCATCGAGCAGGTTGAAGACTGACGTGGCAAAAATCTGAGGCAATGAGGGCTGGGGGCTGTGGGCGTCACCGGCGGGATATTTAGGACGTTGGTGGTGGCGATTATATGTTTTATTCTGGCGAGGGAATCTCATGGCTGTGTAAACCTTTAGGCCATTAAGGCAATTGCCTTAGACCTCATAACAAAAAATATTTATGTAGGAAAGATCTTTCCTGTTATAAATTAATTATATCATGATCTTAACTGAAATATGATATATTGAGAATATATGCTATAATATTATCTGTTTTTCTATTAGTAAAATATTATCACTTATTCATGAGAAAGTTATAAAAAAAATGATTTTGCCTGTACTTTGAAATTCAAAAAATATTATTGAAATGATTTTTTTAACAAGCTGCTATTAAAATAATGTAAAACCTAATCTTAGTAAAAATTGAATATGATAAATTATAATATAGTAAGCTTCTATCATAATTTCTCTTTAGTTCTTCAATATTCTTCAGACGGCCCTAGGGACTAATCTTAACGCTGGGCGTCCTCATACATACCAAGGGCCTGGTAGAGCTCATCGTGCTCAACATTGGCAGGGAGAAAAAGGTCAGTCGGCCATTATTTTTTTCTTAATTCCAAACGCCTTCATCTCAACGCCACGTGTTCTTTAATGTTTTCATGGCCTACACGTGGCCTTTTAACGTTTAATTCAGAGACTATAATTAATGTTCATAGTCCCAAATGAGCATAGGATAACGTGTTTGTAAATTTGATGTGTTGGAGAGAAAATACATGGCACGTAGGAGACTCGATGTTTGACAAGTTATGCATGCAAGGCTAATAATGCAAGTCTCTAGCTAGTCTGTGAGGGAAATTTCAGGGAATCTGCATCATAATTTCTTCTTACAAATCCTCGAGGAACAAGCCTCGAAATACGAAATTTCTAGAACCGTCAGCTACAAGTCTCTACGGCACGGTTTAGTTAATAGCATCATCTTCATTAATATTTTCAAAAGAAGCACTCATTAGTCGTTTGGATTAGCGAAATGATAGTTAATTATTAGGATTTTGCAAGCAAGTTAAATGAAGTAATTGATTCCTGAAAATTTAAGGGGTAACCGTTCTTCATCACTGCTTCAACGTCGTCTAAACTTCTTCTTCTTCTTCAGTCGATCTTCTCAGAGCAAGAGAGGGGCGGGAGAGAGGGAGGAGAGAGCCAGTGATGAGATAAAGGCCGATAGAGATTGTGGGCCCACTATTTTTAAAAAGTTTTGCCGTTAGTTTGAAAATAACAGGGCAGATAAGGGTGCACGGACTTGAATTATTCAAGGTTTAAAATATGCAAATACGTGGCATGCATGTAGGTGAAAAAATTAAAAAAATAAATAAATAATACTCCTTCCATCTTAAATTATAAGATATTTTTACACAAAATCTCATATACTAATAAAGCTCATTAAATACACTTTATAATCTTACTTTTTCAAAATAAAAATATAAACTTTCAAAAATATCATTTATTTAATACTCCATTGATAAAAGAATGAAGAGAAAATATATAAGAAAGGTAATATTAAAAAAGTATCATTAATAAACTTTATTTTTATCAAAATGTCTTATATTTTGATATGCTGAATTTTTTCTAAAAGTGTCTTATAATTTGGGATGAAAAAAATAATAATTAATAATTATTCATAATATAAGATTTTATTTGGTGAAAATAAATTTTGTAGTGCTAGCTATTGACATTTCAAAGCACAAGCTAATCCCAAATTAAAATTTATAAATATCACACTAACATTTCTTATTAACTTTTAAATAAAATATTTTGTGATGCACATGATATTTTAGGTATACTTTTTGTAATTGTAATTATTGTTACAATTAAGATAAATTAAATTTAAAGTAATCTTTAAAATAAGTTTTAAAATGATAAGCCAATAATTAATCTTGTATTGATTTAAAAAAATTGAAAATGGTTCAAATTAATTCACATGAAAAATTAATTTCACTTCGATTTGTTATTTACTAAATTTTATGAATGATTATTATATTTTATTTGTTTAAAAAGAACTTGCTATAAATGAAAAAGGAATGAATATAAGGAACAAAAGATCATGGTCACCAAAAAATAATTTAGAAATCTTGAATCTTTACTAATTGAAATACATTCAACTATTTTTATATATTCTATACTGAGTTATTATTTTATTTTTAATATTGGCTTTACTTTTTATGATACATCAAACAATTAAGAGTATGAGAATAGATTAATTAATATATATAAAATTATACATCATGATGAGAGATGCCAAATGTCATCTAGAATCAAATTATACCTACACAATTTGAAGCACATAAAATACATTTCCTTCAAAACATTACATTCTTTTCACATGCACATATAACAAAAAATTTTGATTAAATGACATTCAATATCAAAAATAAAAGGGCCATCACCTAATTTCCTCACACTTGTTTTGGAGATGAAATATTCAGCCATAGAAATATACAAAAGAGGAGAATATTGTGATGTATGTAATCAAAATAGCTTGATTATAATGAATAAGAGATACAATATTACTGGAGAGAAGAATAGAGCTAATTATTAAGGTTCAAAGAGATCTAGAGCTTTTATTGCAAGGCTTTCATTTGGATTATCCTTTTTCATTGTCAAATTGATCAAGAACAACTCTTCCTAAGCCTTTGATCAGACACCAATGAGATGATAATTTTGCATGAATTTGTGTGAATGTGAGTGAGCACTCTCTAAAAAGGAAAGAAGAAATGTAAGCATAGAAGTTACAATGGAAAAAAAGTTTCAAGAGTTTCAAGGTTTAACTTTAAATTTAAATTGCAAGAAGGCGAGAACAATGAAGAAAATATAGTAGGGGTGAAAATGTGAGATGGGTTACCAAAAAAACCTTGGGTGCAAATATTTTCACTCTTCCAAAGTTTTAGATTTCTTTTCCAAAAAAATATTTTAAAAAATTGAATGAAAATATTTTACTTATTATTTTTAAATTAGAATTTTAAACTTAATTTTTTATAAAATCAAAAATATGAATTTCATTTATTATTTTTAAATTAAATGTGAAGTTATAAGTAAGTTAATGGGAAATTGAGGTAGCGGAGAGATATTTGGGGTAAGGTAATTTTATTTATTTTTAAAAATTAAAAAATAAACAAAGCAAACTATAATCAGGGACATGTAATTTTATTTATTTCTAAAAATTTAAAAATAAATAAAGTAAAATATAATCAAGGACATGTGTCATCATCGTCAAATACTGCTTGTGGTACATAATTTTTTTGTTATTTTTTAATTATAAATTTGGAATTATAAATCAATAAGTTAAAGAGAAGTTGGGATAATATAGAAATATTTGGATAGGGTGTGGTAGTTTTGGGATAATATAGAAATATTTGGATAGGGTGAGGTAGTTTTGGGATAATATAAAAATATTTGGATAGGGTGAGGTAGTTTTATTAATTTTTAAAAATTGAAAAAAAACAAAGCAAGTTAGAATCAATGGCACCGTTAGATGCTATCTGTGGTACATAATTTCTTTATTATTTTTAAATTAGAAACTTGTAAATGTAAATAAATAAGTTAATGAAAAGTTGGGATAATTTTTTCATTATTTTTAAATTTAGAATTTAAATTTTATTTATTTTTTGAAATTATAATTTTAAAATTATGAATATGT